CCCGCCAGCGTCTCTGCTCAGCAGCTCTGGATGCCGCCACCTCCAGCACCCTTGGCTGGCAGCCAGGGAGGCCAGCGGAGGCGGGAGGTGGCAAGGCTGGCTGTCCCCCGGGGCTCCGTGTGATGGTAATTGTGTTAATCCCGGCCAGCCAGCGAGACGGGAGGCAGAGGCCAGTGGCTCCACCGGCTCCACCATGGCTGCTTCTGGGGTGGGCTTGGAGCGGTCAAGGCCACTGCCACCCCCTTCCCATAGGAGCAGAAGCAGGGAGGACAGTCCGGGACGGGCAGGCCTCGCGCAGGCTCGGAAATGCACATCCTGAATGGCTCACTTGAGGGCAGGGACACGGTCTGCATGCATGAGAGTGCCCACCAACCCCATGGAGCACAGGCCCCTGGAGGAAAGGGGTCCATCGCCTAAGAGATGGGGGGCTGGAGCCCGGACCTCTGCAGGGGTGGGGCAGGAGAGTGCTGGCCCAAGCTACTGAGGTCATCTCAGAGGGACAGCTCCTGGAGGTAGCAGGAGCTCAGAAGGAGGGGGCAGCTGGGGGACCCAGGCCCTCCCCCCGAGGAACAGGCCAGAGGGGACTTGGCCATGAGGCTTTGCTGCAGAGAATGGGGCATGGCTGAGCTCTGACTGAAAGAGGAGAGGTCAAAGGACCTGGCAGGGGCCCCTTGCAGTCCAATGGACCCAGGGCAGGGAAGTTTCCAGCAGTGGCTACAGCTCTCAGAAAAGCTGGCCAGGAGATGGTCATCTCCCTAGTGCCCCCAGGCGTGCCTGTGCCTGGGAAGGCCTTTGTGGGGTGGGTGTGAGGGGGCTGCTTCTGGAGCCTTGTTGGAGGCTGCTGAGCAGGCAGCTGATAAAATCTAATTGCCCCATCGATCGGGCAGAGCCGCGGGAGCCCCACGGTGATTGAGATATTCTGAGCCAGCAGGCCCTCCCCCTGCTGCCCGCACACATGGAGACCTCACAGTACATGGGCACGGGTGTGCATGTGTGAAAGCAGGCATGTGCGCCCTGCTCCCTGCTAGGGCTGCGTGCCTGGGGCCTTGGCATGGCCCAGGCACCCAGCTCACACTGCGTCTGGGTGTCACCATGCCACACACCTGTGGCCTCACTCTCACTCTTTGCTGTGACCCCTGCTTGCACGCCAGGGGTCACAGGTATTCTGCATGAACGGCCACGTGTGTGCACTGTGTCCAGGTTTTGTGAGAGTTTGCTCTCTCCTTGGGGCTGTCGTCCCCCATTGGCTTCCACTTGCTCCTGTCAGCCCTTGGGTGGGGACATTTGCCTGCCGTCACCTTCTCTTGCTTCCCCAGGAGCCACATGTCAGTCCTATTCCTACAGGAATGGATCCTGGACAGGAAAGGCCGTGGAGGACTGTGAGGGGCTCAACCTGGGTCCATGCTGGTGTCTTAGGACTGTGTATATGTGTCTATGAGTGAACATGGCCCTTATCAGGGACTAGCGAACTCCCAGATCGCCATGGCAAGACCTTACTGCAGCCAGTGGGCTGGGTCTCACTGTGGGTCCTCCTTCTACCTCCAGAAGCACCTCCCCCCACCCCCACCCCCCCACCCGTAGGAAGGGGACGGGGAGTTTCCACTGTGGAAAATGGGAATGGGACTCAGGGAAGTGAGAGTGCTGGGTTATTTGCTAAACCTAAAAGGGGTGTGTGCAGGATGGGGCATGGGCAGCAGGTGTGGACCCAGCCCAAATCTGCCTCCAGGCCTGGCACAGCTGGATGTCGTGGCTCTCCTACCAGCTGGGCCCTGATGCCCCAAAGCTGTTGGGAGCCAGCTTTGGCTTCCTCAAGGAGCCCTCATGCTGGTTGTGCCCCTCTCTGTCCTGCCAGGTCACTGAGGTAGGGACCCTTCAGCCAAGCAGTAAGGACCTCGTCCCCCTCGGGGCAAGGCCTAGGGTTGGGCTGCCGAGGTGGCAGCGAGGTGGCTGAGATCAATAACTTATTAGCACCATTCTGTCAGCTGTAAAGTGGAGATTGATCGGCCTCTCGCTGCTGCCGCACTTCCCCAGCCTGATAGAAATGACAGATTAAGGGAATAAGGGAAAGGAATTAGGCTCTGGGAATTAGGCTTCTGGGAAGCCTGCCTTGCTGAGGTGTCATGGCAGGCCTGGTTCACAGAGGGGGTAGCCCTCACCCCACCCACCCAGGCAGCCTCCTCAGGGTGGAGAGGGGGCCAGAACATGGGCTCTGGCCTGGAGGCCAGCACTGTGGTGGGCCCGGGAGAACAGGACATCTGCTGAGCTGTTCATCAGACACCCTATCCCAGGCCTTGAGCTCAGGAAGGAAGGATCAGGCGCTGGGATGGAGAGGGGTGGATTTGGGGAGACAGAGGAGTATAATTTGGATGTAGGACCTGAGAGAGGTCTTCAGAGAGGGGTGGGGCTATCCCCCCCCCACAATACGCACATACACTACTATGACCAGGCTGTGTACAGCAGACCAGACTGTTCAGGGGTGCCCTCAAGAGCTCAGAGCCCAGGGGGCAGGTGGGCAGTTGTGTGACAGGCAAGGCCAGGGTGCTGGCTCAGGCCTTCTAAGGGCAGTGAGGAGTGTGGCCTAGGTGGAGGTCCCCAGGAGTGGATGTGGCAGGTGTGCCCGACCTTGGGGGCTTCAAGGTGTCCTTGGGGGCCTGCTGCCTAGCGATTTCCCTGAGTGGATAGAGGCTAGGGTCCTCACCCCTGGGAGGGAAGGTGACTTCCAGGCTAAACCAAAGCCTTCAGTTCCTCTTCAGCAGAATGATCGGGAGGGCCCGATCATTAATTTCACAGGAGACCAGTCTGGCTGGATAGGGGCAGCAGGGTGCCTGTGGAGTCCTGAGTTGCCACCTGAGTCTGCTACCACAAATCTCCCATCACATACACACATACCCCAAAGTCCAGGATCAGAACCGTCCCTTGACCTATCCAAACCCTGGCAAGATGTCCTCTGGCTGAAGGCCTGGGACCCTGGACTGGAAAAGGCTTTGACTTGGCCAGGACCCAAGGGCACCTGAGCAATGATGGATTAGGTTCTGGGCTGAGCTGGGGCTGGCTGGGACGGAGGCCTGGGCTGGGTCCCTCTCTGCCCCTGGCCCTCCCAGCCTCCATCCCCTCCAAGCCCGGAGATGCATGATGGGGCTCACTTTACCCTCCCCCAACAGGTGACCTGTTGGGCAAGAGGCTAGGCCGCTCCCCCCACATCAGCAGTGACTGCCCATTGGAGAAAAAGGCACGAAGCAAGTCGCCCCAAGGTGGGAGCTCAACTTGGAGGTGGAGGGACAGGCCACAAGGAGGGAGGGGGATCCCTCAGACCCCATGCAGGGCAGAATCAGCCCAGCAGCAGGTTCTAGGAGGGGAGGTCCTGCCTCTCCTGTGGCAGCATCTGAAGGAGAATCCCCTCACTTTATGCTCCCCCCAACACAGAGACTCTGTTGCTGCCAGAACTAGGGCCCAGCATGGCCCCTGAGGATCACTACCGCCGGCTTGTGTCTGCCCTGAGTGAGGCCAGCACCTTTGAGGACCCCCAGCGTCTCTACCACCTGGGCCTCCCCAGCCATGGTATGTGCCCCCACCCCATGGCACCATCCCTTACCAAGTGTCTACCCGTGTGTGCTGGGCTCTTGCTGTCCCTGGAGGCCTCTGCTCACCCTGGAAAGAGGCTCCGGGATCTTTGGCTGCTGACACCAAGACTGGGTTTGGATGCGGATCTGTAGGCCCTTGTAGGGGGGCACTGAGGGGTGACTCTCCTCCTCCCTCTGCCCAGGCATCCACTTGTTTGGGTAGATCTGGGGGATCCCCCACCTGCATATCCCCACAGTCCACCCCCACCATCTCCCACAGACTCTCTAGCAGGGCCACCCCTCACTTGTGACAGGCAAGCACTGTCATTTCACAGATGAGGAAACAGTCTGGGATGAGCCCCAGTGAGAGTGGAAGGTGGGGACTGAGCCAGGCCCACCCGCCCCTCTCCAGTACATGCAGCTTCTCATTGTCCGCTGGTCCGTATGGCCTGTAGTCCTGTAAGCTGCCATCAGGGTGGTGTGTGAGATCGTGCCCCACCTCACCTGGGGTCAGCTCTACGTGGGAGGGGCCAAGAGGAGGGGAGCTGTCGGGCTAGGACATCCAGAAGGGAGGATGGGTAGCAGTTAGGATGTGGCCGCCAGGACCTACCTCAAGGGGTGCTCAGAAGCCCCGGCTGGAGGCACAGTCCCTGCCCCACCCAGCTCCCCACTGCTCTGTCCATCTGTCCTTCCTGCCTCTCATGGACACACCTCACCCACCCACCATCTGGCACCCTGACCAGCTGCACCCTAGCCTGGCAGACCCCAGCCCACGGTGCTGCCTCTAGCTTGGCTTTTTCAGGCGTGAGGAGTGCTGGGAAAGAGGGCAGGATTTCTCCTCCTTACACAAGGCACTGTCCCCCAGGGCAGTCAGGCACCGAGAGCCTGAATAATTCACCAAATGTTAATAATTTAAAAATCTTCCTTTTTAATTGCTTTCCCTGCCCTGCCTGGGGCCCGCTCCGCTGGTCTGCGTCGGGGAGGGGGCGCCGGCCACCGGGGAGCAGCGCCGGGAGCCGGGCTGTCAATCATGGCCCTGCGCCGCCGCCCCCGCCGCGGAGCCGACTGTAAATAACCGAGGCCGCCGGGCGGGCGCGGGGGGCGAGGGGCCCCGCTGGGATCGATGCAGGCGGCCGAGCCGGCTGGGCTCTGCGGGCTGGCACCCGGCCCGGGCAGGACCCACCTCCGCTTTTCGGGTAATTAATTTATAAACAGGCGGCGGCGGCGGCGGAGCCTGCACAAATGGGGGGCTGCGCGGGGCGGCGGGGGGGACCCGGAGGCCCGGCCGCGGGCAGGATGGAGGGACTCCGATGGGGAGCAGAGTGCTAGGCGCCTTGAGGGTGCACTGCGTGTTACCTAGAAGGGGGTCACCTGGGCATTGTCAGTACAGGGTTGGAAACCCATTCCCACTCCTCCAGGAGCAGGCCTGCGCCCTCACTCTTGGGTCTTTGCACAACCCCATCTGCAGCCTTGCTCTCCACAACCTCTGAACTCCTGTCAATATCAACATTCGCACCACAGAATCCCCTGCCTTCGGAGCCTTTCCCTTCCTCCCCACTGCATTTGGGTTACTGAAATCCCCATACCGCTTTCAAATGCTTACCTGCCCCCCTCCCGATACAGGTGGGTGCCTCCCAACCCCCATTCCTAACACCACATAAAGCTAGTTGCACTGTAATGATTTGAGTCTCCCCTGTCCTGTGGCCTTCTGTTCATCTTTCTGTCCCCATGACCAACCAGCAAGGTCACTGTAAGGATGTGCTCTCATTGGCTTCTGGTCTCCTTGGTGTCCTTGCCCAGTGTCCTTCACTCAGCAGCGTTGGGGTAGTGAGAGACCTGGGGTAGCCTGGCCTCTGGGTCACCACTGATCACCCCCTCCCCAACTCCCAGATCTCCTGAGGGTCCGGCAGGAGGTGGCGGCAGCAGCTGTGAGGAGCCCCAGTGGCCTGGAAGTCCACCTGCCCTCATCCACGGCAGGTCAGCGTCGAAAGCAGGGCCTGGCTCAGCACCGAGAGGGCACCGTGCCAGCTGGCACCCCATCCTTCTCAGAGAGGTACTGGGGTGCCCACATCAGAGAGGCCCCCATCTTCTCTTTGCTCGTTTCTTGGATACAAAGCTGGGGTGGGCCTATCAGAAACCTAGTACCTGGTTTCTGCAGGTCACGTCCACAGCCTGCATCTCCTTACCTTGTCACCTGCCTTCAGTGTGCACACTCTTCGCCCCCATCGCAGCCACACGCTGCCGCTGTTGGTACAGAGTGTGCCAGGCATTGTGCTGGCCCTAGGTTCATGGTCTGCAGAAAGGTCCTGACACCCGCTGAGCTGGTCAGAGGCCCAGAACACTCCTGGAGTAGAATGTGTGGGGGTGACCACCCCTCTGGGCAGGGTGTTAAGGGTGACTGCCGTGTCTGTTGAGCGACTGTGGGACTCGCTGAATCCAGGTGCCCCAGAGACAGCTGAGGGCTTTGCTCCCCCAACAGGTAGGTGAGGGGCTGGAGGCAGATTGGGGGAGTCCGTGGAGAGGGGGGTGTGGAGGGGGCCAGAAGGCAGCAGAGGGGAGCAGTGCGAGGTCTGGAAACCCTGAAGTCCGAGAGCTGGGGCAGGGAAAACACACACACACACCCCACCCCCACCCTGGCCCCCCACCCCCGCGGTCCACCTGCAGAGGCCGAGGGGTGAGCGAGCTAGGCGGGCGGTAAGGGGCTGGGCGGCTCTCCGCGGCCTCCTGCCGGGCGCCAGGGTACGCCCCCCCCAACAACGCCGCGCCCCCCGCCCTCCTCCCCGGAGCGCTATTTGCAGCTGCCTCCCCCGCCTCCAAGATTGCAGCTAATTGCGCCCCCCACCCCCCAGCCGCACAGGGTCCACCGCAGAGGGGGAGGCGGGGGCCGGGTGGGCCCCGCGCGGTAATTACCGCAGCAGTCGCCGCCGCCCGCCGGGTCAGCGCCTCCGCGCCGCCGCCGAGATTAATTGGCGCCGCCAGCCGGGGGCGGGGACGGCGCACGACCCGGAGTCGTAGCGAGCAGCCGCATCGACCGCCCTCGGGGCCGGCAATTAGTAGAGGCGGCGGCCGGAGGGGAGGGGGTGGGGGTGGGGGTGAGGACGCGGGTGCAGGGTAGTTACGGGAAAGGAGGGGGCCTGCGGCGCGGACTGCTTACGGTCCTGTCGTCCACAGGGAGCTGTCGCAGCCGCCCCCCTTGCTGTCACCCCAGAATGCCCCGCACATCGCCCTGGGTCCTCACCTCAGGCCCCCCTTTTTGGGGGTGCCCTCGGCTCTTTGCCAGACCCCAGGTGAGGAGTGGGCGGGGTGTGTGAGCTCTTTGTGTCCTAAGGGGCTGTGAGTGAGCCCGCCGCGAGGCCGTCGGTGTGGGCGCATCTGGACTTGCCAGTGACAGACCCCGTGTCCCCGAGTGCGCCCCGACTACCCATCCCCGCCCCGTCGAAGCCAAGGACAGACCAGGTGGGCTTGGGTGGCCCTAGACCACTCGGCCACCTGGCCTCGTGGTCTGTCCCCTTCCCACCAGGTTACGGGTTCCTGCCCCCTGCCCAGGCGGAGATGCTGGCCCGGCAGCAGGAGCTCCTGCGAAAGCAGAACCTGGCCCGGTAAGTGCGATGGCGACCGGGGAGGAGCAGGCGGCACTGCCGAGCTACATGACCCACACTACCGTCTGCTTTTCCCGGTCCAGGCTGGAGATGTCGGCAGAGCTGCTGCGTCAGAAGGAGCTGGAGAGCGCGCACCGGCCTCAGCTGCTGGCGCCCGAAGCCGCCCTGCGCCCGTCTGAGGGCGCCGAAGAGTTGCAGCGGCGCGGGGCCATGCTGGTGCTGAGACACAGCTCCGCGCCGCTGCTGGCCCTGCCCCCCCAGGGACCCCCAGGCCCCGGCCCACCCACCCCTCCCCGGGAGCCTGTCCGCCGAGCCCTTCGGAAGGGGGGCCCCAGCCCCGCCTCAGCCCACTCCAGTGAGTCCAAGGAGACCACGGGGGCTGGGCTCTGGGCACAAGATGGCTCTGAGGATGAGCCCCCCAAGGATTCAGAAGGAGAGGACCCTGAGATGGTGGCTGCTGGGGGCCAGGGCCCCAACCTGGGCCAAGCCCCAACTGGAGGGGCCAGCCCTGAGGGGAAGGGGCTTCTCTCAGGGTCCATGCTGCCCCCTCCACTGCCCCTGGGCTTACCCTACGCCGTCAGCCCCTACTTCCACACAGGTGGGCATCCCCCCTCCATGCTTTAGAGCCCTCCATGGGGTGGAAGGAAACCCAGTCCCCACCACCACCCTGGGTCTTAGGGAGGGGGTCCATGGGGAGAAAAAAAAAAATCCCTTTTAGTCATCAGTCCATCTCCTCTGAACAATTTGGGCACGTTCAATAGACACGGGTGGGAGAATAGGAAAGCGCTGGCCATAGTCCTAGTAATACCACCCCCCCAACCCAGGCACCATGGGGGGACTCTTCATGGATGGGGAGGAGGCCACAGCCCCTGAGGACCTCAGCAAGTGGACAGTGGACGATGTCTGCAGCTTTGTGGGGGGCCTGTCTGGCTGTGGAGAATATGCACCGGTGAGGGGGCGGGGTGGTCACACACCTTCCTGAGATGGTTCTGAGTTCCTTCCCCAGTGCCTCTTCCCACCCCGAATCTCCCCTCCTCACTAACAGCGTGTGGGGAGGGGGAAGGATGCTGTTGCATGCCCCCCACCCCGCCGCCGGCCCTTTGCCATGTCAGCGCTTCTGCCTCCAACATAGGCATATGCCCAACACAAAGATCTTCCTTTCATTTGCAAGTTTTTCCAGCAAACTTCACCAACAGCTTCTCTTGGCCCTGCTCTCTCTGGAAAGCCATGAGGAAACCCCAGGCACTCAGCCCTTGGCGGACTGGAGGGACCCAGCAGGGTGGGTAGGCACTGGTCCCAGCACTCAGGCCCTGACATCCCCCCCCCCGCCCCCCCAGGTATTCAGAGAACAGGGGATCGACGGGGAGACCTTGCCCCTGCTGACCGAGGAGCACCTCCTGACCACCATGGGGCTGAAGCTAGGGCCTGCTCTCAAGATCCGGGCCCAGGTGAGTGCCAGCTGGGGGCAGGAGTCTCCAGACAACGGTGGGTCAGCACTGAGGCTCTTTGTGGCTGCAAGCCAGCAGGCCAGCAGCGCCCCCACCCAGGCCCGTCTCTCCACAGGTGGCCAAGCGCCTAGGCCGAGTCTTCTACATGGCCAGCTTCCCTGTGGCTCTGCCGCTGCAGCCACCGACGCTGCGGGCCCCAGAGCGGGAGCTCACCTCTGGGGAGCAGCCCCTGTCCCCAACAATGGCCCCCTCCCCCTATGGGGGGGGGCACCCCCCTGCTGGCCGGGCCTCACCCAAGCAAGAGAATGGAACTGTGGCTCTGCTCCCCGGCCCCGCAGAGCCCCCCCAGCCTCTGTGCTGAGCTGGTGGGTGAGCCACCCTGACCCCTAAGTCCTTTAGTGCCAGCAGCTGATGCAGAAGACCCCACCCCACAGCTTACTTGCGTTTTGGATTTGGATGCAGAAACACAAGGAATTTTTAAAAGGAAAATGTGACTTAAGAGGAAAAGAGTTTTCAGAACTTTCTGGGGTGCCAGTACAGCCAGGTGCAGACAGCCTGGGGACCCAAACCTGAGCCCAGGCACGGGCACTCTGCATCCTGGGTGCCTGCAGACAAACCACAGAATGACAGAGGAGGCACGTCATGCCACACTGGCCGCGGCCGTGCCTGCTCGCTCTGTCTAGCACTGGGACTGCTCCTTGCGAGGCTTTCGCATCCTGCCATTGGGGGCAAGAGGTCGGGGCAGAGTCCCACTCCAGACCAGCTTCTCGCACAGGCTTGATGTATCTAACCCAACACTGTGGGGCGCAGCAGTAGACGGCCCCCACGGTGCTGGTTTCCATCCCCACGGCCACTACTCCAGGGATCTGTGCAGGGCTCGGTACTTTCTGGTCTCTCATGTTGTAAAAATAAAGCCCCATCCACCATCTACTGCCCTTCCCCCCGCAGCATGGGCCCTGACCTCCAGGCTCAGGGCCAGCCAAGAAGCTACAAGCCCAACTGCCTGGTGAGGTGGGAGCACTGCACAGCAGTCCCCACAGGTCCCCAGGCTGGCAGCCCTCAGTCCTCCTCAGAGAGCTGCAGATCCTGCAACTCATCCTCTGGTCCCTGGGCCAGCTGCCACAGCTCCCGAAGGTCCAGGCCCGCTTCTGTGTCTGGGCCTCCATCTGCAGGGAGAGACCAAGGCAACATAAATTCTGCTTTATCAGGAAGAAGCCAGCCTTGGAGATTCCTCATCACTAATTAATCACAGCCCTAATTAATTTATTGGTGCCACTGTTACTGGCTGCCAGAACCAGCGGGAACACAGCAGCTGGCCTGGCATCCCAAGGAGGGGTGTGGGCCCAGCTTAGAGCCATCCTCCCACCCGATGGCCCAGCCTGCCCATGCACCCACGCCCATGACAGCCTTGGGCTCCTGGACAGATAGGCTCAAAGGGCCACAGCACTACCCCTCACCCCCAGGAACCACTTACCTTTTGAACTGCCGACTTCTTCCTGGCTGCCATCCTCCTCCTCCTCCTCCTCCTCTACCCTCTGCCAAGCTCTTGGGGACCCAGGCATCCCTGGGGACCAAGGAGAAGAGCCCATGGGAGTGGGCCTGCCAGCAAATGCACACTGGGGGAAGCTAATGCAGGAAGGTGGGCCAGGCTCACAACCCCACACCCACCCACCTTTCCCTCAGGCCCCCTTGGGGCAGGTGGAGAGGGCTCCCAAGTGCCCAGCAAGGAGTGGGAGCGAGGGAACAAGGTCTGGGGACACGTGTTCCAATTCCAGGAGGCCCTCACCTCAGAGCAAGCAGAGCGGTAAGGTGGGAGCCGGCACCCCCTTCTGGTTCCATGAGGTGTCTGAGGAAGCCTTCCAGGTCCACCTTCCCCTTCCCCACAGGGAGCTCAGGCCCCTACCTCTCTCTGAGAAGTCCATGGTACTATCTTCCTCATCACTGTCCAGGTCAAAGAGATCTTTAAATTCCACTCTGTCTTCATTCTTGTCTCCTACCTTCCGCCGCTTTATCTCTGGCAAGTTCAAATCTTCCAGCTGGAAGGACCCGGAATCAGAGCAGGAGGTGAGGGTGGTCAGGTGGCTCTGAGAGCCCACCGAGGCCTGGTCCCCAACCTGCCCTGTCTCAGCCCTGGGCCCCACCCTCCACCTAAAGGCTTAGCCCACAGCCACAGCTAGGTCACATCGTGCGTCACGCAACAAGAACCCTGACCACAGTCACTGTCTCCCTCTCCCTCACATTCCCAAAGACAGGCTTTATCCAAACCCAGTGCCCCATTCCCTCCTCCGTTGCCCTTCAAGCTTCGCCTCCCAACCAGTCTTCCACGCCAAGACTCTGCTTGGCCACTTTTTCTAGCCAACTCTCGGTCAGCATCACTGGAGAGGACTCCTGGACAGCCGCCCTGCCAGGCAGGTGAGGAGGCCCCAGCCACACACTGGCCACCAAGTGCCATCAAAGGTAGAATCACACCCACTGGCTGGAGGCCCAGCTGCAGCCCCTCACCTCTCTGTCTCCAACCTTCAACCATCAATCCCAGAAACGACAGCAGACCCATGACGACATGAGCCCAAGGACACAGACAGAGGCATGCCACTTAGCATGTGCCCTCAAGTCACACCATCCCACACCCACTGGCCAGGCCCAGACTCAGAGCATAGCCCCTCCTGTGCCTCCTGCCGATCCTCTGGTGTCCAAGGTCAGTCTAGCCACTCCCTCCTCCAAAATCCCCAGCCAGTCTGGCCTCCAGGGACTCCTCCTGAAGGTCGTAAGAGAAGCCCTGATTACCCAGTTCTGCATGACGGCTGCCCCTTCAGAGCGGCCACAGGACAGGCTGCAGCTGCGAACAGGCCCCAGCCATCCTGCTGACATTGTCCCTGGGACTGTCCCCTCCCACAAGCCCCCTTCCCCACTCTGATCTTAAAGTCACAGCCAGGGAGCTGGATCCTTGTCTCAGAACAAACCAGGTGGTCATGCCTGCCCATATCCCCCCCTACCCGCCCCCCAGCAAACGTCCCCTGCAGACATACACGCTCTTTGCCACTGATCTCCAGCTGGATCTCTCGCTCCCTCAGCTTCCGCCACTGGCTATAGTACTTGCTGAGAGGGGTCCCTTCCTCTCGGGTCTGCTTCTCCCAGGCATCCTGTGGGGAGAGGTCCAGGATCATGTCCCATCCTGGGCAAACCTCCAAAGCCCAGCCCTGCACTGACTAGTACGCTCAGGCAGTGCCACCCGCCCAGCCACCCTCCCGGGCTCCCAACTGACCACCGCGTGCTGGTCGGCCACACCGAAGGAGGCCCCCTGGCGGCGGCTGCAGATGTACCCTGCATTCTCCTGCACCTTCTCCAGCAGCTGCTGCAGCTGCCGGCAGTAGTTGGCCACCTTGCATTCCCGGAGGAAGGACTTCAGCTGCAGAAGGAAGAGCGGCTCAGCCAGGGTCCAGACACAGGCCTGCCCTGCACCCCACAATCTGTCTGGGTCACACATGACCACAGGGAGGTGGTGGGGGAGCAGGGAACATGGGTTCATGTGTCTCGCAGCCCAAGTGCACAAGTCTGGCCCTGGGGAGCCCTAGTGCACACAGCTGGGGAGTGAGGCCCAAGTGCACACACCAGACTGTGGGGAAGGGGGCGCTGCATGACCGCTGTTGCCGGGGCCTACGGGGACTGGAGAGCAGATGGCCCATCCCATAGGCCAGGCAGAGGCACGGAGGCCGCAGTGGGGCAGCATGGATCTACCCTCCAGATCAAATCCCACCCTCAGCCTGTCTCTGTAAATAAAGTTGTATTGGTACATGTCCACACTCATTCACGTATGCCTTCCTGTGGGTTTTTTGTACATCGGCTCGAAGACCTGAACAGCTGTACGAAACCACATGACTGTAAAATCTGGAGTTCTTACCCTCTGACGCTACCAGAACAGTCTGCTAAGCCCTGTTCCATACTACGATCCCCGGGACCTGGAGTCGAGAAATAAAGCCCTGCATACACGGCCACACCTGTCCCTGGATGGGCCTCTGAGCCAGTCCAGTTCTGGTCCGAGCAGCCCACCCCTACTCACCAAGCAGGCCTACGACTGTGTGGGGCTGCTTCTGCCCACCAGGGCCAGACAGGGACAGGCAGTGCCACCTGGCCCTTCCCATGAGAGGCACCTGCCTCCTTGAGATGGGAAACATCGGGGCTGAAAGCAGACGGACCTCTGACAGAGGTTAGGTTCTGCTACTGGGCCTGTGTGGCTGTGACAAGGATGCCTCCCTCTAGTCACTACATAAATGGGGAGCTGAGCCCATTAAGACAGCTTCGTCTGCTATATGGCAGGCCGTCAAGGGATCTGCGAAGGGAAGGGAAGGGGGAGCCAGACAGTGGGTACACACCTGCAGGACGGCGGGCAGCGCCAGTTCAGGGAACGCAATGCTGTGGGCCTGGCTGTGCAGGTATTCCAGGATGAGGTCATACAGCTGCTCCACCAGGCCATCCTGAGGCAGCAGGGAAGAAAGGAGAATGTCAGGGGTGGGAAGATGGGAGCTCAGCCCTCTTCCAGAGCGGTCCAATGTGTCTGCTCACTTTCCAGGGTGGAAATCGGAGGATGTGACTCCACAGCCTCCCCAGAAGCCACACTCACACTCAGTGTAGCTGAGGCCAAGGAACACTGCTCCCCCCGCCACCCCAAAAGACCCATGAAGGTCCACACAAACTCTGGAGGGCAGCGGGCCCCCTCCTGTCCGCACTCATCTGACTCCTGTCACCCTACACACTGACCTCAGTAGGCTATGACGTCCGGCTGTGACCCCCACCCAAGGCATCTCCCCAAACCCCTCCACAGGAGGCCTGAGACCAGCCTCACCCGGTACGCCTTCTCCTGCAGGTTGACTTTGGACAGCTTCAGGATCACAGTGAAGTTGATGGGCTTGGAGCTCATGCGCCCCGGCCTCTTGTTGAAGTCGACCTGCTGGAAAACCTGTCCCAAGACCACATCAGCCTGGCCTGCTGTGCCTCGTGCCTCCCTGTACCACACACTCTAGCCATACCCTGGGTCCTTAGAGACCCACTGTGGAACCAGGGACAAGCAGCCACATGCAGTGCCAGTCCTGTGGCCCCACAGACCCCCCTGCCTTGCAGAGCTCTGGCCTCCAAGGGAATCACTTTATCCTAGAGTGGGGATCTGGCCGATGGGAGTAGGACCAGGAGCACACACATGCCGCTGACTCCCTCCTAAAACCAAAGAAAGGTCCTTCCTTTACACAGCCACCGTCACTGCAACGTCCTCACCCTTGACTGCACCCCTGAGGACCGGTGCCAACCCCAGGGCTGCATCCCCGGGAGGATCTCCGACGAGGGCCTGGGGAGCAACCACTCCCTCATCCTCCACGGAGACCACAGGCTGCGTACATCGGCCTCTGCCTCTTGGAGAAGCCCACCCCTAGGTCCGAAGGCTGAAGGCTGCAGGGTGCCCTGGGGGCAGCAGAGTGGGAGCCAAGCCTGGCCCCTCCTCACCACCCTTGCACAGAGGTGATCCAGGATGTTGTTCTGAAGGGGACGGGTGGCCGACACCGAAGATACCAGAGCTGGGAATGATGGTTCCCAGCTGAGCTCAACACAACTCCAGATGAAAATCACCCACAACTGTGGTATAACAAACTGTTTCCCTAAGGGAACATTGCCCTTTCTCAAACCTGGCTCAGCCTGGGCTGGGGGGGGGCGGGGGGGAAGGGGGGAAGGGTCGCTGCTCTCAATACCTCTTCCCACCCACCCAGGAAGGGCAGGGCAGAAACTGCCTCCTGACTTGTTTTCTCTGGGAAGGAGAGACCTGCACCCCTGGGTGTGAAGGAACATGCCAAGCAGAGCTGAGGCAGGGGTCAGTCAGTATGAGAGCTGTGCTAAATTAGAAGAAATCAGAATAGGAACCCTCCAGGGGCTCCCTTCTCTCTCCTACTTGGTAGGAGATACAGAGCACAGCCCTGTGACACACAGAACACCACACTGAGACACTCATCCAGCCCATCTAGTGGTGGGTGGCACTAAGGCTCTCTAATAGGGAGATGTGAAGTCCTAAGTATACAGTGGGTTGGGGCCTAACCCCTAGTGGGTTTCTGGGCTGTAGTCGAACAACCTTTCCCCACCTGAGCTACACGCACGTGCAGGCATGCAAGTACCCACATGCACGTGTATACATACAGATGTGCACATACACACAAATGCACACAGGAGTGTGCAGGAAAAAGAATGCAGCTTTGGAAGCAGACCTAGGCTTCCGGCCCAGCTCTCCTGGTCACTGTAATAGACCGGACAGACCCAAGTGTGTCCTAAAACCAGCCGCCTCAGGCCAGCCCTGCAGGGCAGCTGTCCGTGTCCTCACTGCCACTCTAGCCCACCAACACACACCACCAGCTTGGGCGGGTGGCAAGGCACTGCACAGAGCGATGCCCTCCCAGAACCTGCTCTACAAATGAGAAAACCAGCACTCGGGAAGTACCGTTATCTCAGAACACACGGTCCACATACGGCAAGAAGGGCCTCCGAGGACAGCACGGAGACACTGGACCACCCCACCCCACCCCGGTGGCGGGTACCCTCTCACCTCCAGCACGAAGGGCAGCACTGGGATGAAGATGCCAGTACTCTCCGAGAGCAGCGTCAGAGCACGCACACAGTGCATGCGCAGGGGGTAGAAACGGGCAGTGGGGACCAGCCTGGGAGCATGGGAAAGCAAGGGTGAGCAGAGGCCTGAGCCTCACAGACCCCACAAACCACCCTCCTGGCCTGGCTGCCCATGACTCAATTGTCAGGGTGAGGGAACACCCCAAATAACTTTTGACTTAATTTCATTTCAATGCAGGAGGGCGGCAAAGGGAGATGGTTCACTCAAAGCTTCCTTTCTTCCCTACTCCATGCTTTAAAAGGCTCCCCCTTCAGGAGCTCAGGGGCGACCCCTCCTGGCCAACAACGGCAGCTGCCCGGCCACATGCAGCTCCTCCACCCCCACAGACCAAAGCTCAGGAATCACAACTGACGTGTGGCATACCACACAGCCCTGCTCTGTCCAAGAACCAATTCCCTCCAGCTGCACATGGCCCTTTCTACCCAGCATCACCCAGAACGCACGAGTCTGGGACACTGGGCCACAGACAGCACCACCCCCAGTCCCTCCGCAGGCGCTGCCAAGTAACAGACCCCAGGGTCCAGGGATGGCCCAGACCCTCCTGGAGAAGCAGCTCCTCCCTGGCCCCCCAGGATGCCTCCCTGTGTGGCCCTGACCCTGACCCCCACAACAGCCCACGTGACCCCGGCCTCCCTCGGCCCTCAGGGCGACCCTGCCCACCCGACTCACTTGATGCAGCCGATTACCACCTGGGAGAGGGGGTAGATCAGGGGCTGGAGGGCTTCACTGGGGCGGACAGCGCTGAGCACACGGCACCACAAGTCCAGGCAATGCACGAACTGCCAGTTGTACACCGACTGGTAGGTCTCCTGGGCAGAGCGAAGTCCATCTCCAGGTCAGCGCGGGGCCCCTGGACGGCCCAGCTCTTCCTCACCCACCATGTGCACAGGATCCCAGCCAACAGCAGCACCACCGTGCCCACCTACCCAACCTCCCCTCTCCACCTGCCACCTATTCCCAAAGCCCCCCAGCAAGGACCCTGATCCCACCAAGATGCTGGGCTGTCTCTCCCAAGAGAATGAGGCTTCCAGGAGGCCCCAGGCCCTCAGCCGGGTTAGGCTGGGGCCATCCCCCACCCCACAAGCACAACCACACACCTTCTTGCGTGTGGTCATGGCATTGCGCAGGTGGATGGCGAGCTGGCGGATGTAGAGGAAGGCGTGCTGGTAGGCGATGCCAGTGTCCAGGGCAAGCAGCTCGGTCAGGGTCCGCTGCATGAAGCTGATGAAGGGCAGGGTGCTGGGAGAGGTGAACTTGCAGTTCCTCACATACGTGATGTACATTTGCTGCCAGGAAGACCCCAGTCAGAGCCACCTGAGCTCCTAGGGTCCTAGGTACCCACCACCCAGCTCCAAGCCACCGCCAGACACCTGGGCCTCTCCCTTACAGCTGCTGCCTTGGCGGGAACCACAGTCTGGCCATGTCTGCTGCAGACCCCTCTCCCTACACGGCACCTGCTCTTGGGCCCCCTGCTGCTGCTCAGCCTCCATACGTATACACCCACCAATCCCACACAAAGTTTGCAGTGCCAGGAGGAGGGGTCCTGTAGGTAGAGTGGAGTGCCAAGGAAGCTGCAGCATGAATAACTGCAGGAAGAGGCAAGGACACCATGGAGGGACTGGGAAGGAGGGAGGTAGAAAAGCCCCAGCTACGTGCCAGGCCTATGCAGAGGTTTCTAGAGGGACTCCATGTGGGAAAGGCCACCCCAAGCTTGCAGCCGGACAGTGGGGTCCCCGTCCCTCTCCACACCTGATGTCCTCATCCACTGAGGGAGAGAGCTGTGCAGAGTAGTCCATGTGGAGCCCCAGGGGGCCAAGAGCTCCCATCCCTGTCACTGTCCCCAACTTCTCAGGGAGGGAACTGTGATGACAGTGGGGGTCAGCCCAGAGCCACAGTGCCAACAAAGGGCACCAACCACAAAGGCAGCTCTCCAGCCCTCAGGCCAAGACTTTCAGCCCAGACCCCGATGGACACAGACTCGGGGGCACTAGCGGCAGGAGCCCCGGGCCTGAGCACTACCTTGAGGACAGGACTCAGGAAGACGTCCTTCCTGTGCCGGCACACCTTGACGAGGACCAGGAAGGCCAGTACACGCAACGTCTCCTCACCTGTGCTCCACAGGACCACCATCCTCTGCAGAAGGCAAGAGGTCACTGCCTGCCCCAGCCTCCCCAAGCCCAGCCAGAGGCCCCTGTGGTCACTGCTGGGGGACAGCCCTTCCCAAAGCCCCTCAGGAGAGAAGCACCCAGAACTCAGTTAGGGGGTAACAAAACATAAAACTAACCCCATGAAGGCAGTACCACAAAAACACACGACGCCCATATCCAGAAACACACAGTAGAGAACAACAAAAGTACGTCTTGCTTCATTTCTCGTCAGAAACATCAGAAAGCTGCCACCTCACGTGCCTGGCCCTGCGGCCCCAAGAGCAGAGGGCCGCCGGAGACAGGCCCGAGCAAGGCTAGGGTGGGGATGGGCGCAGATGCCACCCACACTCTGGCTAGGAGGGGGGCACGCCTGAGGGGCAGCGACACGCACCCCCATCCCACCGACACAGCGAGGGGCCTGCGCACCTTGAGCAGCACGCGGCACTGCTTGGGGAAGGTCAGGTAGTACGGCACGGAGCTGCGGACGTGCTGGAGCACAGCTGCTGACACCGTCGCCTCCGCAACGCAGGCCACCAGCTGGGGAAGCAGGAGAACGCGTGAGGCCCCAAACCCACGCGCGTCCGGGAAACAAGGAAGGACTGGACCACCGGATGTGGCCAGGCCCCGTGGAACACAGCAGGCCCCCTCCCCACCGGAACTGCACCTGTATAACTGCGCTCAGGTAGACCTTGATGTCCAGCCGGAGCTTCCCCCACAGCGGGCTGCTGGACGGCTGCAGCGCCCTGCACAGAGACCAAACGCACACCCACCTGAGTGAAGCCCCACACTGCACGCTTTCTGCCAGAACCCGCCACCCTTCGTGGTGATTGCTCTCTCAGTGCAGCGGCCCCCTTCGTGCAAGAGTCCATGCCTGACCAATGCCAGCACCACCCTCACCTGTCAGCTTCCCTGCCCCCTTCCGACAGGGCCACCTCCACAAGGCTGCCCCCTCCCGACCACGAGTCCAGCCCTGGCAACTTCCACCAGACCCAGATACTCCTGTCTCCAGGTCCGCCACTGCCCCATGCCTCCCTTTCAGGTAGTAACAGCAGGACCCTTCCCCAGTCTTCTTTCTTCCTCTGCAAGGTGTCTGGGGATAGTCTGACCCTTCATGCCCTTGCTACCTCCTAGTCATGTGGCCGCATGACCCTCTCAGGCAAATGTCCCTCCCCTTTTACCAAAGGTCTGCTGCTCTTCTCTCCCCTCTGAAGACTTTTCACAGCCTCCTCTACTCAGTGTACCTCTAATGTGGAACTTAAGGTTCCCAAACTAGCTTTGAAGAGACACCTACCTACGGGCACACACACCTCCCAGAGCAAACAGCAAAGAAGTGGACAAGATATCCATTTAAAGAGATAAAAAGAACAAAAAAGAGAGAATCCTGACCTAGAAAACTAGTGGTGCAAAGCCAAGCACACACTCTGGGCCCCCTAAAAAATTCTGGGTAGAGAATGTACCTTCTCAGAAAGAAAAGAGAAAGAAGGAAGGACAAAGCCACCCAACTGGCCCTGAGTGCCCAGCCTCTCCCAGCAACCCTGCAAAGGGCCTGGCTCTATCTTCAACATCCCTCTATCCTGGTTGGGTCTAGAAAGGACCCCTAGATCACAAGGCCTCTGCCTTCCCCAGTGCAGGGGCCTGACTACGCCTCCTACCTCCCCTCTTCCCTTTCACCTGCTACTGTCCTTTGGGACTTTTCCAAACAGCAACTTCTGGAGACAGCCAAAGAGATCTCGAATGCAGAAGGTAACCAGGGCGTTGAACACTGCAATGAAGGGACCACAGATGCCATTCACAGGACAGAAGATGGAAGAGAGAGCCTGTATCCCATGTCCTCTCACCCGAGCTCACCAGCACTGTCCGTGACCTGGAATTTGCTGGCTTCAGCACCTTCTTGGTCTCCTTGGGTGGTGACCACAGCAGCTCGGAATGCCTGCACAACTTCGTGGAACAGCTTCGGAGTAAGGTGATGCTAAAGGGGTTAAGAGGACCCAAAATGTTGGGGGAGAAATCAGCTGTGTCAGACAGAGCATGAGGCAACCAGAGCTCCAGAAACCTGCTCTATGAGAAAATGGCGCCCCTTGCCCACATTCTGAGACGTGGAAGCAATGTTATGGAGCCACATGCAGGGAACAAAAAAGGAGTCCAGAATGTTCCTGAAAGGGCAGGGAGCCTGGCTCAGGGCCATACGGGAGAGGCTGAGGGTCCCAGATCTGGATGGTGACCTGTGACAGGTGGTATCTAGAATTCTCCCTCTGTCCTTTCCTTTTCCTGCAGAAACCAATGCGAGACCCTGGGAAGAAGGGCTCTGGCTCCACTGACTGGCAAAGGCACAGAGACTATGTCTTGCCCACAGTGGATTTCAGGCAGCAGGGAGCATGAGAGAGAAACTGAGGGGAAGAGAGCAGGAGAGCCCCTAGGCTCTCTGACCGAAGGACAGAATGCAATCCTGGAGCCTCTCCGCATAAAGAAAGAATTAAGTGAGATTCTCTGGTGCTAAATAGGACTCCAGTGCCAGTGCTCAGAGAAGGGCTCCTCCCACCTACCTCCTCCCAACTGCACAGATCCAAGTAACTGAAATGAGGCTAGGGCAGACTCCTAAAGCAGGGTGGGGGTGGTGGGGGTGTCCAATTGCCCACCCTATGCCACTTCTCACCTTTGCTGCCTGTTTCCATCTCTCAACCATCACAAGGGTCACAGGAGCAGAATCCCTTTTCTTCCCCTTCAGTCCTCTGGGGACCCCATCCTCATCCGCATCTTCCCCCTCCACACTTGCTTCCTGTACCAGACAGAGGGCCAGGCTGGAGCAGGATGCAGAGGCCATAAGTGTGCCCCTGCCCCCACCAATTCTGCCTAGGCCCTCACTTCCAGCGTATCTGGCAGAGAGTGGAGCTGCTCCTCTTCATCCTCAGTGCTGTCTGAATCACTAAAGTTCAGCAGGCTCTGGTCGTTCTCCTGCAGGAACTTGTAGAACTCGGGATCTTTGTCCTTCAGCCGAGAGAGCTGGTCCTTATGCTCAGATGCTCGACCTTTATGCCGGCTGAGAAGGCGGGGGCATCAAGTACAATGAATAGGCACAGCCCACAGGGGTGGGGGAAAAGGGATGAGGCTTCCTGTCCTCCACACTGTAAGCTTGCCAGCCTCCACAAAGAAGCTACAGGGCTTGATCTGCAACCTCCACAACAGCTACCGACAACTGTTGGTTTTCAGCAGATCCCCCCTCCCCTAAACTCCAGACTCACATATCCAACAGCCTCTCTACACACGCTTCAACACCTGCATTTCAAACCCAACACATACAACACTGAACTTGTGGTTCTCCCAAACTTGTTCTGCTGGCACTCTGCTCCATCTCAGGTGTCGGTAACCCTATCTTTCCCCGTACTCAAGTGAAAGACAGCCTCTCTATCTCTTACGCCCAGCATGCGAAGTGCCATGAGGTCTCCTCAGCAAAACCCCTTCAAAGCCCCTCATGCCTCCTCTTAAACCAGCACCATCTCTCAATTCCCCCAATTACCATAGTGGTCTCGCCCTATCTCCGTACCCACCAACTCCAAGCTATTCTCAACACAGCAACCCAAGTGACCCTTTGCATTAGTGCCATGTGACATTATTTCACAGCTCAAAACCGAGATAACTTCCCATTGTACCGGTATGTCTTATAAACGGGCTGCAAGGTCTGACTCCATCATCATCTCTCCAGGTTCACCTCCTACTACTCTCCCCCTCACTCCTCCTTAGACACTCACGTGTGTAAGATCCGCCCCCACTTCAGGAGCTCTGCTGTTCCTGATACCTGAAACACCACAGTTTTCTTCCCCTGTCTGCGTGACTTCCTCCCTCAGGTCTCTGTTCAGTTACCACCTCCTCAAAGGTCCTTCTCCACCAAACAGCAACAGGAACCCCCCAATACGCTCCCTATTTATCTAAGCCTTTGTGTTTTTCTTTACTGTTTGCCACACTTATCTTTTCTAATCTACCATACGTCTGATTCACCCGGGCTGCATGAGTCTTCTAGACCAGAAAAGGACCCTTTCATTATGCACCAACGTATGCCCACCACCTAAAATAAGGCTTGTCAGGGCGCCTGGGTGGCTCCGTTAGGCGTCTGACTCTTGCTTGCGGGTGCGGGTCGGCTCAGGTCGTGATCTTGGGGTAGAAGGCTCCGCACTCAGCGGGGAGTCTACTTGAGATTCCTTCTCTCCTCCCTCTGCCACTGCCCACCCCGCCCCCCGCGCGCGCGGTCTCTCTCCCAAAAAATCTTTTAAAAATATAAGTAAATAAAATAAGGCTCGGGGCGCCTGGGTGGCTCAGATGGTTGAGCGTCTGCCTTCGGCTCAGGTCATGATCCCAGGGTCCTGGGATCGAGTCCCGCATCGGGCTCCCTGCTGGGCGGGGAGCCTGCTTCTCC